TAACTCAGTTTCAACCTCAAATCATTGACACATAACAAGACAGATACATTCATAACAATCACAAGTAAGGTTAGGCTTGTAAACATAAGTAATAGAGTGAGCGCGACTACCAACTTTCGGACATTCTGCCGCCTCGTGTCTCGTTGTCAGTGCATGAATACATTTTTTCGGCTCCCCGTCGTAAAGCGCATGCGCGACTCGACCACGGCATAAATGTCAGGCTTTCTGCAGTGAAATCGCAACAGAAACCCCGTACTTTCGACCAGCGTAGTAAGAAAAAACATTATAATTACTACAAGAAAATTAAAATGGTTTGTGATCATTTATTCGTTATCTAATTGTATACAATCTAAAAAAAACCGGAGTGAGTTTTACTCCTCATTCACTCCCATCACTCGGATTACCAGAGTGAAGTAATTCAAAATCTAGATTTTAATTCGGAAAACATCCAAGTACGGAGTTCTTATACTATCCCGGGAAAAACAGATTAGATCTGTTAAGGCAGATCTGGCCAGATCTTTAAATTGTCTCTATCTGACGGGATCTGGTCATAATTATATAGAATTATTTCCATAAAAAAAAAAAAGTAATTCATTATGTGTTTATCTACGAGACTTACTTGAAGAGTAGAATTTGTAATAAGTACAAGTAATACGAATCGTATCCATGATCGATGTGTAATGAACAAAATTTTTTATCAAATTTGCAAATTATCAATTATCAATATACGCTGATGGAAAGATTTATTAACTATTAACAAATCAATTTATTCGAAGACAATTATTTAATTGATTAAATTTTAATAAATATTTTTTAACATTCAATAAATATTTGTTTGGGAGGAAAGTATATTTATTAAAATAGTTTATATTAAGTAGTTATTAATAGTTAACAAATATAGTTACATCTGGCCAGATATAATAAAATCTTTTTATGACTGATGTATTTTTCAACTCAGATATGATTATATCTGTTTAGATCTGATCAGATATGACTAGATCTGATCATGTCTGATGTATTTTTCAACTCAGATATAGTATATCTGTTTAGACCTGATCAGATATAACTAGATCTGATAATGTTAGATGTATTTTTCAACTCATATATATATTTATATATGTTTAGATCTGATCATATATGACTAGATTAGATTATGTCTGATGTATTTTTCAATTCAGATATGGTTATATCTGTTTAGATCTGATCATGTCTGGTGTATTTTTCAATTCAGATATGGTTATATCTGTTTAGATCTGATCAGATATGACTAGATCTGATTATGTCTCAAATCCCATATCTGGTCAGATATAAATAGATCTGACCAAATATAATTATGTCTGGTCAGATCTAAACCTTTTTTCCCGGGTATAACAAATTTTTATTTAACTGAAACAAGTTATATGTGCCAAACCATTTTTTTCATCGGTATAAAATGAAGCAATATACATATATAGATAGATATATTATGAAGGTAAATTCAATTTTATTTAAGTTAATATGATAATAGTATAGAAAAGAATAAGTTTCTGAAAAAGTTTAAGTGTTGTGTACGTTACGTCCTACACAAACGTGAAGCCAAATGTATTTTATCGTGTATAAGTCTTTGTGAAGTGTCCCCTCAGGTAAGACGGAGCGGGATGAGAATGAGGATGAGGAAGTAGTCGAGACGTTGATCGGATTAAAAGTTGCCTTCGGCTCGGCGAGGTTTCAAAGTTTAATACGTAACAACTAGGTAGAATGTTGCAGTGAGCTTGTGCTCAGAACAAGTGCTATTTCAAAGATATATACATCTTTTTGAATATAATAAAAGAGATTACAATCAATGCACGTTACAAAATGCAACGAAATCTTATCAATGTATTCGTTTTTCATATTTTCAAACCTTTTTTGTTATCATTTATCAATATTCTCGGTAGTGTTGTTTTTAGATAAAATAAGAATTAATGAAAAATTTATTTGTGTTGGAGTTGGAGACATTAGGGATGATGTCGGTCATTAAGATAAGGCTGATTGAAGATTAGGGGGAAAATTAGCCCCTTTAAAAAGAAAAGGCTAATTAGTATGATTATCTACGCCCGTGCTCTTTTACGTTTTAGGTAGCTGATAATTATTTTTTATTATTATTATTAGTGTGGCTGGCATTGAAAAAAAATATACACATCTTAGAATGTTTCGTGTGAGAGAATATTTAAGAAAATTTTCATTAAAAAATTCAGGCTCGTCTTAAATAAAAGGTTAAAATTTTTTTTTTTACTTTTTATTTAAAAATTTTTACGAACATTTTTGTTTTCGACTTTTTTTCGCTTTTAAAATATTGAAACAATTCGTTTTTTTGTCATATCTTCAATATTTTATCAGCACAAAAATATCCAGCGAATTTTTTAAAAGCAATTGCATTGTTCGTTTAATAAATTTTTATCTACCAAGCGATAGAAAATTTTTTTAGCTATCAATAAATTTATTTATTTTCAAAAAATTTATCTATTAATTAAATATGATTATAATTGTTATTAACTTTTAATTTATCGATTGAAAGTGTATTTAGTAGCAGCTAGCAAATATTTGTTAACAATTAATGGATTTTTTTGTGGGAAATGTGTCTATTTCACAGTGCGAAATGAAGAACGATCATAAACAAATAGTGTCATAACCTTTTATAATAAAAATACGATTCACTAATAATTTTTACTTAAAAAAAAAAACAATTCTTGATTATTTTATTTAATTTTCTTTATTTTTTAATAAGAAAAAGTATTTATCTACCCTGATCTAATGGAATTGTTTATCTATTCAAGTCATGAGTTATAAAAACTGTTTAAGTAGAATTTTTATTCTCACTTTTTATTCACGGATCTAATTAAATATTTATTTAATAAATAGTTTGTTAATTATCAATCTAATATTGAAGAATAATTTATTAACAGTTTATTAAATATTAATAAATTATTCTATCAGTGTGCAAAATCGCAAAGCAGCTAAAATTTTTTCGATCATTATATTGCTTCTAATTAATTACCAAATTTTATTATCAAAAACGCCATTCGGTCATACCCGACATAGATAGGTAGATTTATTGTTTAAATATTGAAAAAAACGCGTTATTAAAAGGCAATTATGTCCTCAAATTTATTTTTGCAAATAATGATATGAGACCGACTACAACAAATAGATATTCAAAGACATCTACCTAAAAAATAGGATTTGTAACAGATGAAAGTCATTTGATGATAAAAGCCAAAAATTAATTTATTTTTGATTTTTTTTTAATTTTCCAAACTCCGAAATAAATTGAAAAAAGTATCAAAAGGTGACGAATAATAGCTCAAATTAAAGATAATTATGTGAATTTTAACATAAATTTGATAAATTCAAGCTATCTTTTATGACTTAAAAATTATTTAAAGAAAAAAGGCTAAAATACGTTCATTGAAAAATTTTTGAAAATTTTAAAATTCAAGGAATTAATTAAAAAAATTATCAAAACTAGACAAATAATAGTTTAAATTAAAGGTAATTAAATGAAGTTTAAGATAAATATGATAGATTTTATTTATCTTTTACATCTGGAAGATTATTTTCATAAAAAATACAAAATTCAAAATTTTTTGAAAATGAAAAAAATTTTCAAACACACACAACTCGTAAAGTAACCGGCCGATTTTGCTCATCTTCGAACTTGATCTTGGTATTGATCCACAGAATGAGCCCACAAAATTTCATAAAGATCGGTTGAGAACTGTATGCGCAATCCTGCTGACATATGGCGCGTTATATCACATAAAATAATGACTTGTAAAACACTTGTCTAACCAAGCTAAAAAAACAGACGTTCTATCTGTAGCAGGCACTTGAAACTGACAATACAAGTAAGTGATTGAATAGTAGTCCTGTGAAAAAAGTAGCTGAGTTTAGATGCGAATAAAAGACCGTAGTTTTCATCTGTTTGAATTTACACAGTGGAAGATGTTTGTACGGCCATTTTATTTTATCCACCTTGTGCTTGCACACAGTCCCCAGAGGCGTTTCGCCGCTGCAAAAGGTCCGTGACTCAACGAGATTTTTAGCACTTTATCCAGCGCAATGAGCGTATATTCTATTCGTTTACTTCCTTCTCACTTTCTTCTTTTAGCAATTTTGTTTTATTTCACTCCATTGTAGTCTACTCTTCTCATCTCTATTTTTTTTGCAATTATGAGCTTAACTAACTAACCTCGAGGAAAAAACGGTTCATTCAACCAATTTCAGACGTTTTCCACTCTCTTGACAGTACGGAAAAATAACAAACTGGAGACATGTATTTTTAAATCCAAGAACTCGGTTATAGGTACGAAAACTTTTCTGATTTTGAATCTACATTGTACATAGCAGAACGTTCGATTCCCCGCGTTATTGTGCTTCAATGAAGCGAAAGCCGGCTTTAAATTTTTCCCTCTCTATTTAAATAATATTTTTCTCTCGATACACACTCGTCATTACCTCCTCCGAGAATAAGCGTTGAATAAATCAAAATAAAAATAAAAATGAAATAATAAAATATTTATCCTAGCATTAGTAGAGTTTTTGCTCCCACGTGCCGACACGCTGTTAAATGTTTCCAATTAAACGCAAACAAGTTACGCATTTTTGTTTATTTTTCGATAAAATATTTTTACCGGTAATCAATGTTCATTAAACCGAAAAGAGAATGACCAATGGACACTCACTCAGGTATAAAAAATTCAAACAACCCAAACGAAGAGCAATGAGATTTTTCGTACTTCCGCTGTGGCGCGTGCGTATGAAAGATATATAAATTTACCAATACCAAAAACCTCTGTACTATTTGTAGTTTTTTTTTTTAGTGAAAAAAGTTTAACTTTTACCATCTATTTCATGTACTCTGTTGAATCTCTTCTATTCCCAATTTTTATCCTATTTTATTTTGTTCTCTCTTTTATTTCAACTTTTAAATTTCTCTTTGGGTAGCTGCATTTTTTCATGGTTATTTTATAATATTACACATGAGAGAATACAAAAATGTAAATTACTATTTCCGATAAAGAAAGCTCATTCATATACAATCCTTGGTTTAATTACACATTTATTTTGAGTTACTATTTTTTTAAAACCTCATAGAATTTTTAGAGATAAAACTTTTTTTTCATAATAATTTTTTTTAGTGTTATTTTTAGGTGAAAACAAATTAAATTAGTGGAGTTCATTTAACATAAACTATGGGTGGGTTATAAAGGCCTAGCTAAGTAATTATTTTTGTGAAATAATGAGTATCCTGCTTACTTAATAAATTTTCATGTTGATTATAATTCAAACATTTTTTTTTTAAATGTAAATAAAAAATAATCTTTTTACCATAAATAAAAAATTAAACATTCCTTAAAACTGTAATAATTTTTAGGACTTATTTTACTACAGTCAAAAAATTTTTGCCCAGTTTAATCTAATTACTGATTTGTACTATACTACAAACATATTTAGTATTTAAAATCAATAATTACACACTGAAAAAAAAAAAAAAAAAAACATCAAGAGGAGTTGGAAATTTTTGAACGAAGAAATTGCTCTCGGTTAAAGTGAATTTTATTTGATTTAAGAATTTTTCTGCTTGATTTAAGATGATCAAAATCTTCAAAATGATGTTCTAGGTTAAGGATTTTTTTTTCTCTTGAATCAAGCTAAATTTTTTTATCAGTGCAAAATAGTTTTGAAAGTCACATGATTATTTAATTTTTTTTTTTTGCTCATAGAAAACATAATCAATTTTTTTCATGTTAAAAAAAAATCTCCTTAAATTTATAGATAGTTTTATTTTGACTAAATATTTCTCAACCGGGCCTTATTTATTTGCAAGTACCTCGTTCACAAATAATTCTACTCAATGCTTAAAGTAAATAATTTTTCTTACGATTAACGAAATATAATAAATAACACTTGAATAAAATTCTATTTTTGTCAAATATTAACATTCTCGTTACTCAAAAATGTCAATTATTTAAAAACTTTCTATTGATTTATCGTAAAGAAAAAAAAACGGATACAGTTCGTGCAGAGTATTAAATATATCATGAATATTCAAATAAAATTAAAAAACTCCTTAAATATTTTATCAACTGAGTTTTTTTTCGCTAATTAGGCGAGGAATCGGGTTAACTTGAATTTTTCCGCCACCCAGTTTGAATTCATCACTTTCATAATGACGCTCGCATACATTTAATCACTGATAATAAAATAAAAAAAAGAAAGTTCTTTTGAATCAACTTTTCTCTGTTTAATTATTTCCAGATGTAATTATCGGTGACGTTTTAATTAAGATTCTAATGAGAAATTTTTTCAATTATATCAAATGATCATATTTTTTGTTCTTAGCTAAAAGCGTTCTACGTAGACTTGCTAGTTCCCCTGGAAACGAACCTGGAAAAAGACACAAAAGTTGTGCAGAGTGAGCAGAAAAAATTTCTTCAACAGCATAAAACGAGGTCCGAAACTTACAGCAAAGCCGCGGCAACTATGAAAAAACAAAGGAAAAAATCACGTGGAGCGAGTAAGAGCGGATTAGCCATGGATAAGGAATTAAAGAACATGCAGATTCTTGAGGAAGAAAAATCTAAACTCGATGCTTTTTGTGAGCAAAGTCTTAAAAATGTAAGTTTTTTTTTTGTATTTTAATTTTCTGATTATTTCTATTCTCAACGCAAGTTAGTTGCTTATAACAATTAAAAACTTATCATTACGACCAAAAAATTAATTCTTCATCACACGAGCAATTGATGAATGTATTTGTTGACAATTATTTATTAAGAAATCGTCCTTCACTTATTTTCAGCCATAAAAAAATGGAGATACATTTTTTTTCATTTCAAAATGTTTTTATTTTCGTCAGATGGAAGATAATAACTGGTTTGATTTTCAAAAAATTGAATTTTATGGAGATTTTTAGATTTAAATAGAATTTCGACTCTTGATAAAAAATTTGGTAGGTTAGTTTTTCAAAATTTCTATTTCTTTTGTCGTGAATTAAAGGTAAAACTATAGAAAAAATTTCTCAAATTTTTATAATTTTCGGTGAATACATTGAATAATATTGAATGTTTACAATTTCACGTATTTGATAAAATTCTAAGAAGTGGTGCGTCGGCAATTTTTTATTATTCTACTTTTGATGCGCAACAAAAAAAAATATAATAATATTAAAAAAATTATCCATCATTTTCAAATTGGTGATCAAATATTGAATTTTAATTATGAAGCTTTTCCAAATTCAAAAATTTGTATAAAATTTAATTTTTTTGGATATCAAATTTATCCGTGGAAAAATACATGTTAAAAAAAATGCATGAGTAAGTCAATTCTTCAATTATTCTTATAGCTGAAAATAGGTCAAGCTCCACTTGCAAATAACAGCCTATTTTTTATTTTTTTTTCAACAAATAACTAACTAAAACTTAAATGTTTCAGGCAATGACCCAAGAACGCAGACGATACGGGTTCGTCCTGGAGCGACAATGTTCACTAGCCAAACACTACGCGAGCTTTCACGAAGTTGCCTTGGCAGCTCTACATCCTTCCGTGGACGAATGGCGTGAAGTTGCAAACACTCGTGAATATTTGCCTCAATCCGTGGAAGACATGTTTGCATCCCGACTTCGTGTAAGTGAATCAAAACTTTCCCTCTTACACTTTCGAAAAATAAACAGTAACTAACAACAAAAACTATCTCCCTATTAATCTCTGGTACTTCTGCAGCAAGTGTCTTTCTGGCCCGAGGACGAGGAGAACGGGGGTTCTGAACTGACCATGAGTTCCCAGCTGAGAAAAACAAGAAGTATGGACAGTTCCTGCTTGGAACTTCGTCTTGGTCCACCACCGAGCCACCCGCCCTCTTCTTTACACGCCGGAGCGCCCTCTCATCTCTCTTCGGCGCTATCAAGGGCAAGGTCAGAAGCTAATCTCCATGCCTCAAGCTTGTCGCTTGAACCAGGTAATTAATCTTACAGATTTATGCATCAACTAGGTTCTCAACTTCCTCATCCTCATCCTTTTCTTCTCATTTATCACTCTTCCTCCTTCTGTGTACCCGCACATTCAACATTCAACATCCACACAACAGCATAAATCTCTTCGAACACACCCGATACATATCATTCTTACGTCAAGTATTTGGCATCCAACTGGAGCAAATTAATTTCAAATTTATGAGAGATATATTGATACCTACTCAAATTGTTGAAACATGCTTGGAGCGATTGTATGGACATATATACATACATACATACATACATTTATAATAAAAAGTAACGTAAATCCATATGCTATGATAGGGATTGCAAAATATCCGACTAACCGATGCATATTCGATTGCAATTGTACATCGAGTGCCAGATATATAATACACCAGAATCGAATAGTAAACCATTCTTCAAGTGGTATTGCAGACTCGTTAGATTACCAAATTTGTATGTATATAAATATAAATATTAGAGAGTTTCATGAATCAACAATACTTGAAAACAATGTTTTGTGAAAATATTTTCTGGTCAAATATGGATATATCAAACTATATATGAAAATAAAAATATAATTTATTATTTTTCTATTTCTTATTTTTTCTAAAAATGGGTAATTTTCTAGATAATTAGTTGAGTAATTTATTAATCTAATAATCAATGTCAGTTAAGCTCTTTAGAGAACTCAAAAATTTTTTTTATTTCATAATTTATTCATTGATATCATATTTACATAGCAATTGTTAATTACACATTTATAACATACTAGCTGTTACTCGCCCGCTCTGCTGGGCGCTTTATAGAATTGCAATTTTAGATCTAGACTTGAAATTTAATTAGAGTATTGTTTTGACTTGCACAGATTCCAAATTCTGTCTAATTGGCATGCACTTTTTATCCATGCAATTATTCTAGCTAATATTCATTGTAACTTTCAATGTGCAATCATTATAACATTCCCGTGACTTTCTTACTAAAATGAACAATATTTTATATGAAAAAAAAAATTTGTAATGAGCATTGAAAGTTTCAGTTAAAGAAATTGCAGGTCTCATAAGTGAAGAAATCTATACCTAGTATATAAACATAACCAATAGAACTAAATTTATTTTAAACAAATTACAATCGAATAGCATAAATTTAGTTGCAATAAAAAATCATTATTTATAAATCAAAAAAATATAGGTTCCGGATAAGTAATCACCAACATATCATATACTAAAACCTTTTCCGAAACACGCTGCATCTTATGGTATTAGTATTATTCCAATCGGTTCAGTAGTTTTCGCAGTATAATCGGACAAAAAAACCGGCTCTCCATTTATTAGTATAGATAGAAGATAGATAATTTATAAATATCACAAATTAGTGATTCCTAACTCACTGTCTTCATTTACATTTACTTTATTTATGATAATTATTTTGATTTATTTATTTCATGAAGAATAACAATGACAATTATCTTTATCTTACCTAAAATTTACCATAAATAATTTGGTGTCAAAGATTTTTGGACGAAAAATTATATATGGGCATGTGTGAGTATATAAGAACTGATATAGGCTTATCAAGACACATATCAGGGCATATTAAAAAATATATATGGACATATCAGGAAAACTTTTTACGGAATTTTTTGACGCTATCTTTTGACGAAGTTTCTGAATATTGCAAAAACTATTTCAAATTTTAATAGCTTTTAACTTCAAAAATTAGAACGTATTTTGAAGCTAAATTTTCTCTGTATTGCAAAAAAAATTTTGATCGAAAATGCGAAAAATAATATTAAACAATGGAAATATTTAAAAATAGTTTTCAATGAAAAAAAAAAGACTTCAATATTTATTCAACGATTGGTACTATTTTAATCAATTTTTTGAGTAAGTAAACAAGAATATTTTTGCAGATATACCAGAAACTCCACCGCGACCTAGATCAATGGCTCCGACATCAAGGAACAGCGTGGTGGGTAGCACCAGCGGTGGGGGTGGATCTGGAACTGGTGTTAATTCAGGCGTATGGGGTGAATCTTCATTAGCGCGTGCACTTTTTGCTTACTTGAGTTCTGGGGAAAATCAGCTGAGCTTTCTTGAAGGCGATCTTATTGCACTAATGGGTTAGTATATTCATTAATTCGTTCATAACGTAAACAGCTCATTATTTTTTTATTTAAATTTATGGAAAACTGTAACTGTCATTTTTTTTTGTTTGTAAAAGAAAGTTTGCAGAGTTATTTCATAATTAAAGTTATTTTTATTAAACATTTTTTTAGTAACTGGATAAAAAAAGAACAAACTTTAAAAATTTTTGTCTAAACTTTGAAAAGTTTCTAGTTAATAATAGTTTTGGAAATTGTTCGTTACTTCAAAAACTAGGAAAGTAATTTTTCTTTCTCAATTAAAGTTTTCAATAAACTTTGTTTCATGATTGATTGATTACTGAGTTTTCAGCTGTCGCAACTAATATGATTTTTTTAATCTAATGATATGTATTATTTGAAATAAAAAAATATCGAAATTCAAATATACATAAATTACTTTAATCATTCAAAAAAATTGAAGGAAAAACAAGAAAAAACTATAATAGATTTTTTTATAAAGGCTTTCAATGGTACGTTATTTTGCCTAAAAAAATCGAACATATACGGATGTAAAATCTGTATAACTCTATTAAATCTTGTGATCAATTGTAGTAAATTAAAATAGAATTTTAATATATTGCGTTTCAAACGTCAAAAAGACATTTAAGGTAGTTGTCATGGTACAATATTGTCAAAAAATTAAAGATTATACGCGCCGCAAAAGTATATGAGCTTGTTGCTAAGTAATCCATAACTTTTACGCAAGACTGTACCCGTGGAGACGAAACCCATACAATTGTTTCTGTTTGATTTCGTAGATATATACTTTTTCATAAATTGTTGAACTTTAATCCGTTATTTATAAATAATTAGACGATCAAAATTTTTAAAAAATTTTTTTTCAACTCACAACAAATACATTAAAAGACTGTCAGTTTTTTGAAATTTTCTGACAGTTAGTTTTTTTTTTATAATTAAGAAACTGGTACAGAACTGCAGAGAGCGTATGCAATCAATGTTAAATATCCAATTTTTAATTGAATTCATTTCGGGTTATAGGTGGTCAGTCGAATTCAAATTTTTATGGTAATTCTATCATCATGGCCTTAATGAGTATACAAAAATTAAGAATTTTCTGACGATATGCCTTAACCACGACAACTACCTTAAAAAAATTCTTTTTCCAATCGCTTTGCAAACATATTGTAAGCTTATTGAATTTCTTGAAGCGTCAAAGACCGACGGTTCTATAAATTTTAAAACTTTGTGTTCTCTTTACAGTTTATTTTTATTTGTTTCAATATATTCTTGATCTATCTCTATTTATTGAGTGCCCTTTTGACTCGTATAATTTAAAAATTTTTTATACGTTTTCTTGATACAAAATCCTATCGAATATTTCAATACACCCTTTCATCATTTAAGGCGTGATAAATGATGTATAATAATAATAAAAAAAAAAAAAAAATGGTAGCGTATGAAAATAAAGTTCGGTTCCATAAATTTTACAATATTTTATATAAAAACTCCAATGATTAAAATATTATTAATATGCATTAATAACAAGATACAAAAAAAAAATTTTTATAAGAAATAACTACTTAAGGAATCCATATCAAAATTTTTTTCTTATTATATTTCTGCAAAAAAAAAAATAAAAAAATCTGATAATTCTAGGTGATCGTCAAAAAGGTTGGCAATTTGGTGAGAATCTCCGTACTCAAAGCTCTGGCTGGTTTCCGCTGGCTTACACTGAAATTATAATCGACGATAGTTTGGGGTGAGTTTGAGTTTATGAATAGTTTTGAGTTTAATGTTTAATAAACCAGTATACAGACGAAAGCTATCAATAGTTGTTAAGCTGGTAGTATAGCAGTTGTACACCTATTACTGCTCGCACTCGACGATAATGGTATGTGGACGGTGGATAGGTGGGCGGGTTGCGAGCCGAAGGCTATCAGAGGATAATCGATCATCAGCGGGAGTCTATTCTCGATCCTCGATAATAAGGTAGAGTTTTGTAGGTAGGGTGGAAAGGGTGTAGCATTTAAATGAACCACGCGATTCCGGTGATATAGTTCGGAATCGAAAGGACTCTACTCATGTGAGCACTAGTATCAAGTAAATAAATTTTGTTTATGGAGCGAGTTCGAGGTGTGTTAACCCTAGACCGTAGGTTGTTCATTTGGCACGTGCGTCCATAACGATCAAGTTAATTTAAGCTGACACGACTGGGCACACTACTGGTAATATCATTCAACCCTTGTCTACTGTCACTGTCCGATTGCTTGGACTGCCAGTGGCATTAACTAAGTTCCTGGTATGCAATTGCTCTGGGAAATGTCTTTTGAAGCTTCATTAGTCAATTAACTCCTCTCTTAATCGCTATGGGACGTGTTGAGGTTTTTATTGCATTGATTTTTATAAATATTTGGGGATCGAGTTTATTTGATCGGGACACGCACGATGTACAGTGGTCTAATAGTTGCGTGAAAACACTTTTTTTTATAAGTGTGAGATATTGAAATGTTTCAAGAATTTAATTATTGTAATTACTTATTATGTAGATAAGAAGTGTCCTTAGCTTTGTGTGACGAATTTTAATTATTTTTTTGAAATAATTAAAATGAAAGTCTATATTTTATTTATTTTTATTGTTATGTTGTGAAAATAGTATCATATAAAAAGTTATACAGTTATTAGTTTTTTAAATTTAAAACAGAAAATATAATTTGTAATTAAAAAAAGTAGTATAACCCGTACACGGAAAGAACAAGATGACACTGGATATCATCACAGATTATATTGAGTGAAAAAAAATTTCAGATAAAAGCTAGTATAATCCAGATTACAATGAGTATAATCCAGATAACAATGAGTATAATCCAGATATCACGCAATATACTCAATATAATCTGTGATGATATCCAGTGTCATCTTGTTCTTTCCGTGTATAGGGAGTAATTCTTGAAAATTTATAAAATAAGTATTTTCTAAAAATTCATATTTTTATTAAATAAATAATTATAAAGCTTTAATTCATAAAAAATGCAGTTAATTTCAAAGATCTTTTGGATTCAATACTCAATAATTTAAAAAGAAACTATGGGACTATTCATTTTTGGGAATAATTATATAGAAAGTTTAGAAAAAAACAAATAAAAATTTTATGAAACTTAAAAAATTGCATTTACAATTATTTAGAAATTCTAAAGATAGAATTTTTTAAATAAATTTATCTTGTTACATATAATTAATAACATAAATAAAATTAAAAAAATTAATTAACATCAACTCTCAAAATTTTGCTGACTTTAAGAGAAATATTGAATTAAAAAAAATAATTTATCCAAAAGTTTAAGAAATATTATTGTAGAGAAAAATAGAATGAAGTAATTTTGGGAGTTTAAATCCACAACTGTTTCAATGAATTTTATTAAAATTGTAGAAATTTCATTTAATATTTGTCCTTTAAATAAGTAAGAACATTCCAAATTTGCCTGTTAAATTTTATTGCATTTTATAGAAAAATTCCCCTTTAAGTCTATTAAGGTTACAGAAATTTCTTATAAGCTCATAAATGCATTATTTTACAAATAACTATGTCAAAAAAAAAACCATTTCATAATTAAAAAACAACTTCTATTGCACTTATCTAAATTGAATTTGCATTGAAACCTATAATTTTAGTCAATAAATAACAAGATAAATAAATAGATGCAACACACCCTGAAAGGTATCCCTACAAATAATGAAAACCGATGCGTGAATTTATAAATTGCCTGACAGCATATGCTCTTTAAAGCATGCAAAATAGTTATCCAGACACCTCGATGCTTATCTATTTAAGGAACGGAAGAAATAGTGTAGAGCGTATAGCGCAGAATATCCTATCCTATTCTATCATATCATTACCAATATTATGTTTTTTAGATCTCCGAGTCACGCAGCAAATAACGGTCGGTCACCGGAACCAAGGGCGATGCCACCCTGCAAGCCGCCGCCGTCTCGGCCGCCACCCACGATCGACGATCTCAGCAACGGCGGAATAGGGATAGGGAGCGGAAACCCCTCAAGCAACAGCAACAGCAGCAACAACAACAACATCGGAAACTCAAACACAAACACAAGTACTCCTACAAATGTACCCAAGAGCCATAGTTCTCACAGCGTTGCCACCCCTACGGGACGTCAGCCAAAATCAGTAAGAACCCTCTACTCGGCAATTCTTTCTTTTATTCACACCCTCCGTTTTTACAATCACGTCCTTCCTTTTGAATTACATACATTCTGAGGGTCATAATGTCACCAATGAAAACCCCTTCTTTCATCTAAATTGTCTTATTTCAAACATATCTTATTTGTATCGCCTTCATAAATCTTTATTCCGTACTGCATTATTATAATTTTATTGTCACATTTTTTCTTTGCGCTCTTTGTCTTCTAACGATCTTCAAAGTATATATTCTTCTTTTGATCTTTAATGTACTTTTAGTTATGTCAAATAATATGACGAATAATGAACACCCAATCAATGCCGCACTTGTAAAATGCAAATTTTACACTGAAAAAAAAGTTCTTGACTTGGCTCAAGAAAATATTGAGGGAGATTGAAAATTTCTTGAATGAAGTCAAAGTTTCTTGAGCCAAGAAAATTTCTTCTTGTTCCAAAATAACTTTTATCTTCCTTAAAATTTTCTTGGTGCAAGAAGTTTTTTTTTTCTGTGCATCTATTTTGATGAATAATTTCATTTTACCTCACTTGAAAATTGATTTTATAGCACAATAGTTGAATTTTATTGAATTGATTGGACACTGATAAAAAAATTAATTTTTTGAAAGTTGATAATTTTTAAGAAATTAATTTTGAATCAAACAGAGAAATTAAAAAAAAAAATTTTCCTGGCTTAAGTTAAAGTAATACAATCGATAGTGCAAATATCAATTGTCAAATATAAAGTTTCGTTTGATTTATTTAGCACATTTGCGTATGCAACATTGTATTGAAGAATTAGAGACAGAGATAATTTTTAATAGTTTTTCATTAATTAGTACCATCACATACTCTGAATTTGTACTTTCAATTATGTTAAGTACTGAGCAAATTATTTTTCCTTACTATCTCAATTTTTTTTTTGCGATATAAAATACCAGAAATTTAAATTACGTAGTGTGCGCGCGTTGTAATGTTAATAAATAAAAATCAGGGACTATTTTTTTCGATAATTTCATAAATTTCGATACTAAATAACTTTAACTCAATTATGAACTTTATATCATAACACAAAATAAAAAGTGCAATTTTTCATAACTCAATGTTAAACGCAAAAGTTTTAAAAGTTCAATACCTTTCTATTGGCTCTCTATAGCCCCTAAAATTTTATTCAGATTATTATTCTTTTATACTGTAATACCTTGATTTTACTTCAAAAATTTTTCTGCTCAATTCAAGATCTAATTCTTCAAAATAATTATCTTGTTTATTTAATTTATTCTTTCAGCATAATGTTAATTAATTACAAAAAAATTGACATTGAAACTCAATATTTAGATAAATTTTCCGAAATTAAAATAAGCTTTAAATTTGAAAGAAACGATAAAAGTATCAATTTCTGATTTTTTTACAATGACTTATAGCTGTCATTTTTAAACTAACTAATTCACTTTTCAATCTCTATCACAAAAATTGCCTGACACAAATTGCATTAAATCTCTTCAATTAATACCTCTTCAAAATTGCGGATATTTTTTAGTGAAAGACGCGACATTTAAAAGCGTATCTGATATAATTTCCTTCATTTAAAAAAAAATCAACTAAGATTTTAAACCTCGATAATCCACCAATGACTGACATAAATTTTTTCTACGCAATCAAAAAATCTTAATTATAATATTGACGAAATGTCTCAACAGATCCGTCCATCAGGAACCTTGCCATCACTATTAGCAGCCGGACGACGAGTCCAGCCCCCGATGCCGCCCGTGCCACCCCCACAAGTGGTGACTTCTCTGCACAGTAGCAATGACAGCGGATTTTCAAACGAGCCACCAGTGCAGCCTGACATCGATTACAGCGACGACGAGGCCATGAGGTAAAGCTCCCAAAAAATATTTCTGTCCAAACATCGCTCACTTAGAGTTGTTGCCCTTGAGTAGTTGTTTTCCCAATTCTCGCTTTGCTCGGCTTCCGGACAACCTCCGAGTGCTTTTACTCTTATCGACCTGCGCCAATTCCCTCGTAGATCGCTTCCTCAAACTATGCCCATTCTATACACTGATACCACATCCTACTCCATCCAGTCCAGAGTCAAAAGTCCAGAGTAGAGAGTAAAGACTATAAAACCAGACTCCTAAGTGCTGGGTTCAGCTTTGTACAATTGCTAATCCCGCTGATGCGTCGAGATCGTTCGAGGAAGTCTGCGGTAAGTGGAGCTGGGCTTCCTCTGCTATTCCATTCGACGGTCTACGTTCTATGAGGAACAGACTAAGCATACAAGGAAAAGGGGCCGGGGTGGTGCCACTCGAACTATTCCTGGCCCTGGTCCATCCGATACGACTCTCAATTCTCATTGAAAGTGCACTGACTCGGCCAATTCGAAATTAAGTGCCTTGCAAACATTCCGTATCAGCGATCTTAACCTCGTGTTTAGTTTTATTTACTTTTTCCCTTTTCCACTATTTGCTGCATGAGTTTTTAAAGTACCTACCGTAGATTCAATTGGCTGCAGTTTTATTTAGTTTACAACCCGCTTTTTAATAAATTACCACTTGCCGACTTTTTTTTCCACGAAAAATATTCTTTATTCGAGAATAAGTTTGTTTGTTCAAAGTACCAATAAAAACTTAAAAAAAATTAAATTTTTTACTCAAACTCATTCTAAATAACGAATAAATATTCTGTATAAAGTTAAAATCAAAATTGTGAGTAAACTGTTAGAGATACAAGATAATTGATTACTTTTTCGTAGAGCACTAAATTTCCTAAAGAAAAGGTTTATTTTTTTTTATCTTGAATATTTTATCCATAATTTTCATTTCAATTTTTTACTATGGATCCTGAAGAAAATAACTTTTATGTAACAAATTACACTGAAAAATTGTTAATGAAGAATTAAGATAGTACTACTGGTTTAAGAATTGACGTTCAGAATTTGATGAAACTTGGCATATAGGTACATAATAATATCTTAATTAACCAACTAAATTTTTGAAGGCCTACAGAGAACTGAAAAAAAGACATTAATATTTACACATTTTTGCTTTTACAGTTGATCCTTTTGGAAAATCACAGACTTTATTTTATTTCATAAAACTGGACGTTCAGATTCTTACAAAAATTAAGACGATAAGAGAAAATAACTATAATATATTTAATAACAACCAGAATGGTTTCAGAGAATATGAGAATATTTGTTAATGAAAAACATTCAAAATTTATCTCTGTTTCTCTTTCTCCAACGCGATTTAGTCTAGGGAAATCTATTACGTTAATCAAATAAGATTAGGTTTTGGGATTTGACTCTTGTGGTAACGGTAGTACTACCGTAAAATCAAAATTGTAGAAAAACTATAGGAAATACGAGAAAATTCATCAGAACTTTTTTTGTGAAAAATTAAATTTTCTACAAAAAAAGTATCTCATGAATTTTTCATAACTCCTATATTTTGGTCAGAATTTGAATTCAAAATTTTTAAAACTTCTTTTCTGTTGTTGAATAAAATATAAGTTATTTTGTTTGAAAATAGTACAGTGGCTTTCTGTAGTTCATAAAATTCCTCAATAACAAACATTTTCATTTTCTTGATTTGCTCTTAAGTTTTTGAAATTGATCCAATCTGAATACTTCAGAACAAGAGTAAAATATTGAAAATAACATTTTCTTTAAGCCAAGTAATTTTTTTTTAGTGTACTGATGAAAGAGTTTATTTTAAATCTAACAAAGATCGCAATTATAAAAATTTCCTCTAAACATCCAGTATGTTCAAAGCTATTTCAAATAAATCTTTCTAAAACGATGATAAAGTTGATAAATCTTTAGCACTGGAGTTTTTCCGAAGGCCGATGCCGAGGGCAGCTTTTTTGACTCCCTCTAATTTACACTAGATGGTTTTATTCTCCTCCTCCAAACCCAAAAACAACAACAACAACTACTAGCTCTTTCTCTTTCGTATTCTTTGTAGATTCCGCATGCGTTATCATGGTCGATGGAATTAAACGTACACCGGTGGTGGCCCTTCTGTTCCTCTTCGTGCGCGTTTTCTCGCATGAGCTGATCCAAATTTATTTAAGCAAACACATTTTATGATTCCTCATTACCACAACCAGTACCAATAGATTAACCATTCAATTCCAATTCCCAAACTCCAATAAAAACCAAATATTATTTTTTTTTTTTTTTCATTTCATTTTGTTTATTCTCCTTTTACTTCTGTGAAATCGTTATCCTGATCCGCTAAACATCAACATAGACAACGCCGCAGAAAAACCCGTGGGGAGCGTCTGGAGGCCGCTGAACGAGCGATGCAGATGATGGATAAGCAGGAGAAGCTGCACAAACACCAAGGACACCGCGAGGAGAACGAGCCCGATGACAAGGGCAAAGATTGGCTGAACGATTCATGGAAGACGATCCCTAGGGACGAAAAGAGCTGGCAGATGTACAGGACAGCCATGGACCTGTGGTCGGAGTCAAAAGAGCTAGACAAAAGAGACCTCGAGGGACCAAGCGGAAGGTATGGACCCGCTAGCAGACGGACCAGCGACAACTACGAGCCCCATCATTCCAAGGAATACAATTCTGAATACGAAGCTAAAGACAAGCGCGACAAGGTGAGCAACGACCCCAGAAAATCCAAGTATGCACAGTCACGAGGCAGCATTGAGCGACCAAGTGTTGGAAACAGCAACAATCGCTACATGAATGGCAATGATCACCGTCTGAGAGATCAATCTAACCGTCGCTCTGCTGAAGGACGTCGTTCTTCTTCTCGAGAAGACTTGAGCCGCGAGATCGAAATTGACGAGTCCGATGAAGAAAACAACCAAGAAATGAACCAAGATGAGGCATACAATGAAGACTATGAAGACAAGAAGTACTACGAGAACCATCGTCGCCGAAAGCATGAAGATCGCCATTATTTAGCAGCTCACGAAGATGGCAATAAGTATTCCAATGACAATCATAATTCCAATAACAATAACAATGTTAGCAATGACAATAATGATGATAACGACAAGAGCGAATCTGTCTCATCTAATTCGGACTCGGAGGGCACGAGCACAATAACTATTCCAGAAGTAGGCAGCAAGGTAGAACATATTGCCCAGAAACTTGAGCAAACAGCTCAGAAGTACGCAAGGGAGCACAGCCCTTCTAAGTTTACCGAGCGCAGACGAGAGGATTATCGAAAAAGTCTTGAACGTGATGAGAAATTGGTATCATCCGGGACTAATTATGACAAATATGAACGTGATACGCGTGTGCAGCGGTTCGATAGGGAGAGAGAAAGGGAAAGGGAGAGAGATAGGGAAAGGGAACGGGAAAGATATGTCGATAATAACAATAAGAACAATCAGATGAATTACGAACGTGAGAGAACCTTCGAAAAGAATCCGGACCGCAATAAAAATATCGAACGGCATTCAAATCGGAGATTCGAACGACCTAAGCCGCCGTTTGAGGATGCACCTGAACGGCCACGTGAGTTACCGCTACCGCGTAGGGAAAGACGCCATTCTGACAAAGAGGAGATTTATGGCACTACTGGTTATGGTGTCGATAAATTTACGGGGAGTTCCGAAGTTTTGGTCGAAAAGGATCGCGGTTATGAATCTAATTTTGAAACTAAGCTAGAGCGAAATAAGGTCTTGGAGAAGATAGTTTATGCGAGAAGTGACGTTGATAATGTGTCCAGGAAGATGATTGGGTATAGTCCGGAAAGGAATGATAATAATAATAACACTTTAAAGAGTGACAAAAAGATCAGTCAGCGTCCTCACACGACTTTGGGGCACATTGTCGGGCAGTCTAGGTCTTTTGACAAGGAAATTATGAGCAACAGTCCCAAGTTGATCAAGCGGACCAAGTCTTTTTGGAGATTTAGAAGAGACTCGGAGGTTCTTGAAGGAATGGCGCTCTGGCAGCATCGGTCTCTTGTTGATATTCCTAAAACTTTGAAAAGAGAGCAATCTAAAACAGAAAATATCAACAACGGAAGCAGTAACAATGAAGAAGAGATAAACTTGTCACGGAAATCCAGTCCCAATTCAGGGTCTAGGCGCAGCCCAAGCAAGGAATCTCGGAGCAGTGATAACACTATTACTAATGAGCATTCTAACGAGGTTCGCGAAGACCCAAAACCTGCAGAAAGGAACATTGTTCCAGAAAAAGCTGATTATTACAATGATTTTCCAACACCGGCTGAGCGCCCGAAAGCTGTTGAGAGATCCGAGTACAGAATCTCTGGCCGCGAAGAAAGGACCTACTTTAGAGGCATTTCGCGGAAAGCGATCCTGGAGAACGAAAGAAAACGCAGTATGGAGGCCAAAAGGAACCGAGTAGTCGCGGAACTTAAAGAGAATAATGATCAGGGGATGAAGAAAAGCGATTGCAATCACAAGGGCTCTTTGTACGGGGAAGACGATGACGGATTGATTCAAAATTTTACTGAAACAGAGGCCTCTGATGAGGAATCTACTTACAGCTGTATTGTGGAGAAAGACCACCAGATTACGGCTGAGAAAACTTTGCTCCCGAGGACCAAGCTTAGGAGGGACAGCGATCGTGAAAGAGAGAAGAATGCTTGCGGCCCTTGGTATGACCTCTGGGGTGCTGATACTTCTATTAATAGTAACAATAACAAGAATATCAATAATAACAATAATAATATCAGCAATAATAATAACAATAATAAGAATATTGCCAATAACAATAATAATATTAATAATAATAACAATAACAGTAACAGTAACAAGAAAAAGAAGAAGTAAAGAGATTGTTTTCTTTTGATATATTTTATATTTTGTTTGCCTTATTATTCGTATTTTTACATTGTTTGTATGAATTTATATATTATATTTTTTTTATTTGAAGCCATAATCCTTGTTATGAATCATGTAATAGACGCGCTGGTTAGTGCTAGAATAAGACCTTTATTTTTGTTATTAGTTTAAGACTTGCATTGCTTTTATCGTTGCGTTTACTTTCAAGGGGCTCGCTCCTGAGATTAATTTTAAGTCCTTTCAGAAGCACCAATGCCTTTGCGACGGTGAAACTCCGGAAAACAAAGACCAATGATCGCTCAGCGCCGGCACTGTGATCTGTGTTTGCTATTAGTTGATACTTTTTGTTGTTATCATTGATGTGCCACCGCTTAAGATGTCTTTTATCTACGAGAGAGATAGACGGACAGTCTGGTGTACAATGTTTGTAAATTTTTCATTGATTTTTAAATGATGTTGATGAATAAGTTAAATATTATTGGCGATATCCGTCCAGCTAATACACTAATGTGGATTTATCTGGAACAAAATGGTGGTAGGTTTACAATACAATATTGTGTCAATGTATAGCGGTCATTTTTTAAACGTTTGCTCTTGGTTCCGTCGTTGCAAAATTTAAAGTTGGTGATTTGAAAATCGGTTGTCATGAAAAAATTTAAGAATTTATGCAAATTAATAAATAAAAAAGAGATTATTGATTAACTTTGAAGAATTTTTTAGAGCTAAATAATATTTTATGTTATTATCTGTATTATGGTCGGATTCATTATTTGTTTGGTGAGAAAAGATCAAGTTTTAAATTCAATGGATTGACGGGTCAAAGATTTTCCTTGGGGGAGAAACTTGTTAGTTTCTGGGTATTGGATTAGTTTCAAACTTTATTTAACTCCTGACAAGTGGACATTCGTTTATATAACTTCATAATCATCAAGGTGACAGACATAGTTCTACAAATATGATTTCAAAGATATACGGAAAAAAGTAAGCTGTAATAAATAATAGTCGATTTATAATAAGTAATGATCAACCGCTAAAAATTACCATTTCAAACAGTAAAATCGTGATTTTACTATTCACTTTACAATATTTATCATTAAAACGCTACAATTTATTCTTTACATGGAAGAAAATACTATTTCAAACAGTAATATTCGCTATGTGAATGTCGAAAATGTTAAAGTATAATAATTAAGAATTTTGACTTTGATATTTATCATTTGGTATCTAAAAAATGATCGCATTATATGTAAAAAGTATATAATAAAGTTACTAAATTTCTAATACAAGCAACGTCAATATTTAAAAAGTAAAATGGTAAATTTTAAACGCAACGCTACACGGAAAAAAGAAAACTCGAAAAATTACAGTATATAATGCAACGTGGCGCTTCGTGATGAACTGGAAAAATTACAGTTTCAGATTGTAATTATTACAGATTTTATAAGAATTATACATTGTAGAATGTAATATTTACATTGAAAGCTCTGAACATTAAATTAAAAAATTGAATTTAGAAAAATGTTATTTCAAACTGTAATTTTTCTCGTTTTGATTACGACGGGACCGATTTTACATTTTATATTGTAATTTTTCGAGTTTTTTTTCCGTGTAAAAATGAAATTATAATTATTGACTTGCTTAGACTGGTAAAACTGTATATTTTAAAAGTAGAATTTTTTTCCTGTTTCAAATGTTAAATTCTCCCAGAGTGAGACCCCCTTCTCCTTATCTGAGTTCCCCTTCTCCTCATAGTATGGACTATATATTGAAATGGCAACTTTTACTGTTTGAAACTGTAATTTTTTAAGATGAGAGAGTCGTTATTTACTATAGTGACTGGTACTAAAATCACTTATTTTCGATATAAAATTATAAATTGTGGCTTTTACACTTTCTACATTAAGTTCTGTAATATTTATATTTTTGCCACCCCGATGTCCGCTGTACTGTTTGAAACTATAAAAATTAACCAGAATCCGAGTGAATTTTACAGTTTACTTTTTTCTGTGTACTTTTATAACTTGAAAGTACAGTTTTTTTTGTTATTAAAATTTAAAAATTCATATCTCGAAAAACAATATCATCCTTCTAAAAATTTCAGAATATTTTAAGATCGATTGAATGCATGATGTAAAAAAACTGAACGAAAAATTTAAAACAAAATCTTTGATTTTTACAATTTTTAAAATTTTAAATACATAAACTGAAAAAAACTTAAAAAATAGTGAAATTTTGAATTTTGCATATTTTTTAAAACAAATTTTTAATTTCTTTCCTTTGTAAAAACTCCGTTTTATGTAAAAAAGAAAACTTTTGACCAAAAGTTATTAAAATTAAATTTAACCATTGAAATAATCGGAATCTAAAATAACGCAGTCATTTTTTGGCAAAAACAAAACTTTAATTTAAAAATTTTTTACACGACTCAAATCACCAATTACTACTCGCTAAAAATCCATGATAACGACCATAATTCATTAACAGTCAGTAGTTACCGATCAGTACGTTATCGATCTATAAGGACAAACAGAAAAATAGAAATTACAAAAAAAAAAAAAAAAAAAAAAAAAAAAAAGAGAGATCAATCGTAATATATTTGTAATAATTTTATTATGTACTTGGCTCGTAACCAAAATCCACGAATTATATTAGCATACTTGGAAATTTTTCTATCGAAAATAATGCCAGCCAAAAAATATACATTATTATTAGATAGAGTTTATACTTAGAAAAGACGAATAAAATAAAATAAAATAAAAATCCAGTAATGTATTAAATAAACTTATTGTGTACATGTACATATACATAAAAACGTTAAATATTGTGAATTGCTGCGGTATAAAATTTAAATTTTCTCAAATTTAAATTCTGCAACTACTATTTTTTACATATTTTTATTACTGCAGAAATACGTCCGACGAAAAAAAATTGGTCTCTCTTTACGTTATATTATTATAACTGCAAACATTTTTTTATTTATCAACAAATCTTAGGAAAATTCATCAAAATAGAAAAAGAAGAAATAAAAGCAAAGCAATGCGAATAATTTAAATAAATATAATGATTATTAAATGTAAACGTCCATATTATGGAGTTGCGACTTTGTGATACAAAGTTTTTATATGCTCTGTAGATAGACCAAGCCGAGCGTACGTAATTTTTAATAATTTATAAATATTAATAACCATTTAATTTAGTATTAATATAAAATTAATAAATAGTACTAAACACTAATGTATTGAACAAAAACAACAAGAACAAAATCAGCTACATAATATTACACAGAATTTTATCCTATAACAATCTTATATAAATCTATCTGTATACACGTAATTTTCCTCTTTATAAAATTGTTAAATAAAAAAAAATTATTTAAAATGCGTGAGTTAATTTTAATGCATTAAAAGGAAAAATAAAATAAATGGTTTGGGGTGTAGGTGTGCAAAGGTATTATCATTATGTTATATTATCTTATATATTATTATATTATTAAATTATACGATGTAATATAATATATAGAGTATTTTTTGTTATTATTTGATCTTATCTCATTTTCCCACATTTTAAATTTAATGTCGAATTAGGTAAGTGTCACGTTTACGGTTTTAAGTCCGATTAAATTAAATTTTAATACATACAATAAACTTGTTACAAGGGTCAGCGGGCCGCGAAGATATGACTCATGACGAGTGCTATATATTTTTTAGTTTCTTCCATTCCACTCTGTTCCGTTTTTATTTTTTTCATGTTCGCTTTATACCGTTCGAAATCACAGCGTTGCACTCTCACCCTTTTATATGCGTGTGAGGGTGTACTTGTGTTTTTCCGCAAGCTCGTTCAAGTGAACTAGGGAAGGAATAAATGAGTATACAATAAAATATTAAATTACGGTAAAAAAAAAAGGCTTAAAAGGATGAAGTAAACTTATCGTTTTTTTATATAGGTGTACTCGGTTAAAAATTAATCAGAGTTTGAATGTGCTATTGTTGAAATACGCTTTATAATGTTTAATTTTTTCAAATAAAAATAAAAATTTGATAATTTACTCATCGTAAAGAATAATGAATTTAAAGTAAATTGTTCAGATGTAAAATAATATTTTTTTAATAAGTTTGAAATTTAAAAATAGGAAGTATAAAAAAATTTTTTTAATTAATAAATTTTAAAAGTTTAATCATTTTTGAAACCTTAAAGTTTAAAAAAGAGGAGGTACAAAAAATTATAAATTAATTTTTTAGCTGAATCTCTCTAATTGATTAATTTTCTGAATGATTGAAAATCAAATTGCGGAGTAGTGTTTTGTATAAAAAGTATTATTTAGTCCTCAACAGCTAAGTCTGGTCATGCATATCCCTATAAAATGTCTACTGAATCGAAATCGTTGGCTTTTGAAATCAAAATACAGAAAATTCTATTGCAAATCAATTTATCATTCTATAGAAAGTCTGCAGTGATCATCACAGAGTTTCATCTGGCATTTCAAAATAAATCAGTAAGTAAATAAGGTAAGTTACGTTCAAAATTTTTAATCTCGGAAAACTAGAAATTTATTCATAAAATTGTAATTTAATTTCTAATGTTATTTACGTTCTTATCCATGGTTCATAATAATTCAATCGGTTCTTGTTTTAAGGATATTTAAAGTGGAGTTTTAAAGTGGCGAAACGTTGTATGAAAATTAAATAAACATCAAATATTAAATATCCTTAAAACAAGAACCGATTGAATTATTAATTTTTAATTTTTATAGAAAATAATTTTATTTGTTTTCCTAATTGTCGTTAATGATAAATTAAGATAATATTAATAAAAAACATTTCTACTCAAATTTTTGGTAGCTTCGTAATCATAAAAACAATATGACTCAAATGTTTTCTAATGATAAAGTTTTTGTTCAAATATATTGAAGAAAAATCAAACTTTGAAATTAAGTACAAATATTTAAAAATTATCTATTTGATTATTAGTTAAAATTTTTGTATTATTACTTCTTAAAAATACGAATTTTGAAGAAAAAAGGTTACTTGAAACTATTTTTCTTTTAAAAAATTTATTTAAACAAAACCTTATACCAGAAAAGTTCAGATGAAAATTAATACCTATTTTTAATAAAAAAATCTCACTGAAAAAAAAGTAATTTAAGGTACATCTATTACCAGTAATATAAGTAATTTGTCGCGCATCAGTCTAATGAAGTCAGTTTAAAATGATGGAGATCGGTAATGTTTTCTGGGCGAGTGGTCAAAATGCCAATCCAAACTTGTGAGTGCCTAGTTGTGGTGTGTCGGAAGTCCT